GAGGTGCAATTTACAAATATTACCCAGATTAATTCCATGAGCCACCCACATAGAAAACTACCGATGTGGCTGCTAAAAATACACCCTGAATTGCAACAAAGTTGTCAAGAATAAGTAAGGAGCTAAGCGAAGAGGAACGAAACCAAAACAGAGGTAATCACTGTTTAGAAAATAAAGGTTAATACATATAAATACCTCTCTTAACGCAATTGTGAAGGATGCTAGGTACCAGACGCCAAGGAAATCGCTGGAGACACCCATCCTAGGCAAAAATCCACCCACAGCCTGTGCTGTCTGGCATACCCCCTCTTAAACTGGGGTCTCCCCTGGACCATAGAGCCTGGCTCTGTTATTTGCACAATAGGAAACATCACAAGGTGAGTGCACAGGTGAGAGTAACACTGCCTAGAAGAGGGTCCAGAGAACCAGATTCTTGCCTGGCTCAAGCCATTCAGCTCCTCTGTACCAAGCCAGTACAGCCACTCCTGATGAAGCCTCATCTCTGGTGCTCAGAAGGATGGCAGCCACCAGCTTGCCCCAAGTCTGGAGCAGAGGCCATGTAGGATTACACCTGATGATGTCTGCTTTGAAATTCAACTCACTTCCTTGTACAGCTCACAAACGAAACTAAAAACCAGGTCAAACATTGCGCAGCAGTGTTACTTCTGTTTTGTTTCACTCGTTTTATTTTTATGTCCTTCATTTTGCTGCTAAGCTCTCCACTACCAGGAAAAAGAAATAAAAAAAAAAATAAATGAGGAAAAACCTAGGAGATGAGAAGGTAAGAGCAAAACCTCCAAATTATTTAAAACAAATGGGAAAATTCTCCTGGCTCAGTGTGTGTGGGAGAGGATTTCACACCAGATAGTCACTTATTTATCATGCCTCGCCTATTAATATCAGGTGAGGCACCATTCTGCTTCCCAGAAATGGTATTTAAGCCAGCTGCTCTGCACAAGCACACACCACCCTCACCTGCACGTCAAGAACGCTGGGTGACTTTCTGCCTGTGCTCTGTGTTACCACTCACTTCAATTTCTACTGGAACCACTTCATAAGGCCTTTGAGGTGTCACATTTCCTCCCAGGGTGCTTTTTCTGTCAAAGAGCCTATGTTCTGAAATCGGTACGGCGCGGATACGGTTTCACCTCCCCTGGCCTGCCTTGCGGTGCTGGCGGTGGGCGTGCATGTGTGCCACCCGAGAGCTGTGCCTGCCCTTCGCAGCGCCGATCCGAGCCCTCGGTTCCTGTGCTCGGTTCCGGTGCTCTCCTCGGTGCCCTGACTCTACCTGATGCTCCAGACCGAACTGCTTGTGCACACAAACGTGAGGCTCGCAGGGGAGGATGGCAGTCCTTGCCTCCCTCCAAGGAGGAAATTGCATCCTCTGCGATAAGTAAGTTTTTATCTATGCACTGCGATATTGCAGGGAATTCTAAGGACCTCTCACGGCAACTAGGAGGCGAAAAACAATCATTAACCCCTCCTCCACCTCCCTCGAAGCCATTCAGCAGCAATTTAACCCGCAAGCATACAGCAACACAACAGAGATAAAACAATTTCTGTCAGCCTTTACGCTATCTCCAGCTCCTGTTATTCAGGATATTCACCTATTTTGAGGCTTAAGGCATGCTGCAGAGCCTGGCCGCAGACCCGTCCGTATCTGCTGCGGGAAATTTGTTTCTACAGGTCACTTTCAGGGCATTCTCCCCCAGCTGCTCTCTTTTCCAGTCAGGCAGAAGCAGGGGCGCCGCTCAAGTTAGGATGCTCTAAGGAACCGCTAAACTTCCACCGCACGCTCCGGTGCAGCACCGCCGCCCCCTCCTCAGGAAGAAGCCGGCGCCCTGCTCGCCC